TTGTGCTTGCGGGGGTTGAGCTCTGGCTCTTTGGCCCCGCCTCTCAACTCAACGTGCTCATGTACACGTGCTTACGGGTAGGGAAGATTAGCTCTTGGGGCCCGTCTCTCCACTTTTGAGTATATGGGGCATCACAGGGCTATAGTCACTCCTCGAACCCATTTTCTCGAAAAGTACAAAGCATTTATCCCCCTAAGGGCAAAAATTTATGTGATAAGCCGCTATGAAATAATCACAGCGACTCGCATGATTGACGATGTTCCGTTTTCTATATGTGGGTCCTCGGTTAGGTTAGGTTCGGAAATTTAATACATCGATTTAGTGACGTTGGGAATGCTCAAAAGGACGGGCTGCATTCTTAATGCGCGTGTATAGTATACTCACCTGGGTGTGCTTGCGGGGGGGGGGGGGGTGAGCTTTGGCTCTTTGGTCCCGCCTCTCAAGTGTCAGTCAACTGGTCTACAGATTCCTGAGCCTACTGGGCTCTATCATTTGAAACTGAATCTACATTTGAAAAATTTGATCTACATTTGAAACTGTGTATGGAGTCATCCTCCACCACATCACTGCCTAATGCATTCCACTTGTTAACTTTTCTGACACTGAAAAAAATATAATGTCTCTGTGATTCAAATGTGTACTAAGTTTCCACCTGTGTCCCCTTGTTCGTGTTCCACCATGTTAAATAGTTAGTCTTTGTCCACCCATGTCAATTCCCCTGAGAATTTTCTAGGTGGCGATCATCTCTCCCCCTTACTCTTCTGTCTTCCAGGGACGTGAGGTTTAGCTCCCGTAGCCTTTCCTCGTAGCTCATACCTCTCAGTTCTGGGACTAGTCTGATGATATACCTCTGAATCTTCTCAAACTTTGCCTTGTGTTTAATTAGGTATGGACTCCAGGCTGGAGCTGCATACTCCAGGATTTGTCTGACGTAAGTGGTATACAATATCCTGAACGCTTCATTACACAAGTTTCTAAAGGCAGTTTTTATGTTGGCCAATCTAGCATATGCCACTGAGGATATCCTTTTGATGTAGGCCTCAGGGGACAGGTTCGGTGTGATATCGACCCCCAGATCTTTCTATCTATTTTACTCCTGTAGGATTTCACCTCCCAGATGGTACCTTGTGTTCAGCCTTCTGCTCCCTTCGCCTAATTTCATTACTTTGCACTTTCCTGAGTTGAACTTTAGTAGCCATTTTCTAGACCATTCCTCCAGCTTGTGCAGGTCGTCCTGTAGTCTCTGTCTATCATCATCTGTCTTGATTCTTCTTAATCTTTTTTTGCATCATCAGCAAACATTGAGAGGAATGAGTCTATACCTTCTGGAAGATCGTTTTTATGTTGTGTGTGTGTGTGTGTGTGTGTGTGTGTGTGTGTGTGTGTGTGTGTATGTATTTACTATTGGTATTTAATATTTGTGTCTGCAGGATCGAGCTATTAACTCTTGGACCCCGCCTTTCTAGCCAATCTATTTTTCCTCTACTATGTCGACTTCATATATTTCTCTCTAAGACGCACGCGCACACATATATGTAGTATATGTAGTAGACAATAATATACAATATATAGTAGACATAAGAGAGGAAAAAATGGGTTGGCTAGAAAGGCGGGGTCCAAGAGCTAATAGCTGTATTCTGCAAGCACAAATAGTAAATACGCTGAGTAGACAGCGCACGGTACTCGTAATCCTGTGTGCCCGGGTTCGATTCCCGGCGCCGGCAGACAAATGGGCAGAGTTTCTTTTACCCTGATGCCCCGTTACCTAGCAATAAATAGATACGTGAGAGTTAGACAGCTGTTACGGGCTACTTACTGGGTGTGTGTGGGGGGGGGTAATAGTAGTTAGTAACAGTTGATTGACAGTTGAGAGGCGGGCCGAAAGAGCAGAGCTCAACCCCCGCAAGCACAACTAGTTGAATTCAACTAGGTGAATACAAACACACACATCCCAGGAAGCAGTCCGTAACAGCTGTCTAACTCCCAGGTACCTATTTACTGCTAGGTGAGCAGTGGCATCAGGGTGACAAACTTTGCCCATTTGTTTCCGCCTCCGTTGGCAATCGAACCCGGGCCATTCGAACTACGACCCTACGAGCTGTGTCCACTGAGCCGCGAGGCCCCGGCTGTGTATGCACGCACCTGTGTGTGTGTGTGCGTGCAAGTCAAGGTTAAATTGTTTATTTGGCTTAGGGACAATACAACATACGCGCAAATATTTGAAGGCCAAGGTGAGGAGGAGCGTCGCCTGCCGCCCCGCACTGTGCTGGTACACGCTCTTAAACAGGTAATTATTTGTTGGTGACGCCTAGCTCCGGCACATGATGCTGCCCCCTCACATGTGTGTGTGTCACGGGCCGGGAATGTATATGTACATACACTCATACTGTCTGGCCAGGAGAGAATTATATGTATGTGTAACTCATTTAGCTGTGGTGACAGTGGCTGAGTCTTGGCTCTTGGGGTCTCACTTCCGGCTGAGTGGAGAAGATCACTCTGTAAGCTGGCTTTTAGTTCTTCATTGATGTTGTTGTCATCTTGAGTATCTTGTCCTTCCCTCTTGTTCAGCATAGTCACGAGGTCATCCACTGCTGCTGTTCTCCTAGTATGGCTTGAAGCAACCGAGATTGCATCTTGGCCTCGGATGTTATGTGAATGTTGTGATTGTTTAATGATTTTTTTTAGTTCTATTACATCTGTTTTCATTCCTTTCTCTCCTCTATTTTATCTACTCTTTCCTGCTGTTTGTTTATGCTTGTTAGCAGTGTGTACGCGTTTGCGCGCGCTCGCTTACATGTGCTGGCGTGTGTACACGTGCTCACGTTTAATCACATGAGTGTTCCTATGGGCCGATCTACAATTCCTGGACATTTTTTTTCCTTTGCTGATCGTGTTTTACAATGTATCCCATCGCTGTTGTGCTGGTGGGACGGTGTAGACTGCGGAGTTGGCCCGAGACATTCCCCATCTACTTGACTGAGCTTGTTCACTCTTGTCCCTCAAGACGTCTCCTTACATCCCCACTACTCATCTGGGGCTCCAGTTCCCAGCCATGTCCTCCTCTTGTATTGCTACCTCTCTGCCGGGTTAGCCATGCCAGTCCTCCATGAGAATCTTTTACGTCTTGACCTTGTCACCCATTTTTTCTTACATTTTGCAACGTTGAGCAGGCGAGGTTGTCCTAGACTTAACTGGTGGTTGAGCTGTGTGATCTCTGGGGCCCTGAGATCACCTTTAGTCTTCTGCTTCACGTGAGCAGTATTGCGTGCTGCGACGGCCCAGCGAGCAGTGAAGCATACCTTTTAGCGCTATCTCTTCTTAGCCATGAAGTAGGAGAGTAAGAGTGTTACATTCTCTAAAAATAAGTCCTGGAGTCGTGTTAGGTCACACAGTCCTATTTCCTCCTGATTTATTCCTTCTGCTGGTTCCGAGCACAGATTGGTAAACATGTCTTGAAGATTAGATTACTGTTGTGTAAATATGGTACCAATGACCTTACTGTTATGACTCCAGAGAATTTATTAATCATTCAATCAACCAAGGAATAGTGGTGAGCCGTCTGGCCCTCTTGGACCACGGGACCTGACCTCTCCAGTGTGATTCTTTGTTAAGAAGTTGTGCCGAGATTGTAATTCTATCTCAAAGATCTAATAAATATTTTTTATACGTTGTCAGTGAACTCGTTGTTATGGCGCGTTATGAATTATTAATCAATGGTGTAGTATGGCTGTGTGCAGCCCTGGCTACAGTGTCCACGCCGGAGCTGCTGCCTGTACCTGCACCTGTATCTGTACCTTCACCAACACCTGTACCTGTACCTGGTGAGAGTTCCAGGGTCACGCTCTCAGATACTGCTCCTCTTACTCACTTGTGCATTTTCTCCGATCCCATACCAACCACTTGGGCTGGACGGCAGAGCAACGGTCTCGCTTCATGCAGGTCGGCGTTCAATCCCCGACCGTCCAAGTGGTTGGGCACCATTCCTTCCTTCCGTCCCTGACCCGTTCCATGTGCTATAAGAGTCGTAATGGCTTGGCGGTTTTCCCTGATGATTCCATCCCCTTCATCTAGTCCAGTTTTCTGTCATTCCATCCTGACTTTCAAGTTTGAAAGTTCGTGTGGAACCAAGTTGAACGTAGCGTCCTGGCAGGCCAGGATGCTGCTTTCATCTTATCCTTCCCTCTCATGTTTGATAACTTATCCCTTTAAGTACCTTATAAGGTATGCTTGTTTGTGGCTCAAGGCCTCGTGTTTGTGACTGGTGAAGATTGATTTGTGAAGGTGATTAAAGTTTGGGTTGTAGTGTCCGTGGAGTGATGCCGGCCGGGTTGGGGTGTGCGCTGGCACGATTGAACCCAGTGGCTGTCTACATAAACAGTTCCTGTCTGAGATGTTGTCACCTCAGATTATCTGGTCCTGGAGGAAGACCCCAGAAGTTATTCTAGGACAGACATAAAGGCCGTTATGTGTGTGTGTGTGATTCCAAACGATGTATTCCAATACGACTTGCTTTAATACAGCTCTCTATAGTGTAATCATTGTTTTATTATAATATATTTAGTATTAGTATAAATATAAAAGATGATTAAAACCATGGTTTCGTCGCTCAGATGGCTGCTTACTGGGACAACAAGCATAAGAAATGTAAATCGAATCAAATTGAATGTGAAAATTACCTCTGCCCGCAATGTCAGTAAAATGGTGAACACGTTTTCTAGTGACCGAACCTTACTTAAAGTGCGTGTGAAGTGGTCGCCAGCAGGTGTACGTGTACTATGAAACGGTGTCATTTGAATTGTGTGTTACTCTACTTCACAGATTGGAAAGGTTGCTCACCTAGGTTGTTTCGTGCTGCGATATTATACTATAATATGCTATATTACCTAATCCTGATCCTGGCCAAGTTAGTCATCTTATGTTTAAGTATGGAGGTGTGTTGTAGGTCTTTTCCATAATCCATTCCATCTAGGGACGAGTATAAAAATCAAATGTCTCCACAGGGCCACGACAACATGCCAGCCACCAATTTCTCCTGTATCGGGAAGGTGATCGGTGGGTACTACGCCGATGTCTACACTAAGTGTCAGATGTTCCATGTCTGCACTCTCAACGAAAAAGGTAAGAGCTGTGTACCTACCACACACTAACATAAACCCACACAACCCCACAACCACAAATATGTCGTACCTAGTAGCCAGAATGCACTTCTCGGCCTACTATGCAAGGCCCGATTTGGCTAATAGGCAGAGTGATTTTCTTTATTTTCAAAAAAAATTCAAATAGTTTATTTCAATTATTATTAATTTATATTAAGACCATAATTTATTGACTTAGTTGTGTTAGTTTAGGTTAGATTAAGATAGGTTAGGTAGAGTTGGTTAGGTTCGGTCATATATCTACGTTAGTTTTAACTCAAATTTAAAAAAATTAACTGATACATAATGAAATGGATAGCTTTATCAGTTCATAAAAAAAAAATATTGAAAAATATATAAATTCAGGAAAACTTGGCTTATATGTCGTACCTAGTAGCCAGAACGCACTTCTCGGCCTACTATGCAAGGCTCGATTTGCCTAATAAGCCAAGTTTTCCTGAATTAATATATTTTCTCTAATTTTTTTCTTATGAAATGATACAGCTACCCATTTCATTATGTATGAGGTCAATTTTTTTTCATTGGAGTTAAAATTAACGTAGATATATGCAACCCGTTCTCGCAAATTTAATAAGTCAATATTGACTTATTAAATATGTGCATAGGTGACATACTTAACATAATAGATACCCTTAAAAAGATTCATAGAAAACACCGACCTTACCTAACCTTGTTAGTATCTTAAGATAAGCATCTTATTGCTTCGTAATTACAATTATTACCTAACCTATAATAGGTATAGGTTAAGTAATAATTGTAATTACGAAGCAATAAGATGCTTATCTTAAGATACTAACAAGGTTAGGTAAGGTCGGTGTTTTCTATGAATCTTTTTAAGGGTATCTATTATGTTTAGTATATCACCTATGCACGTAGTTAATAAGTCAATATTGACTTTACGAATTTGCGAGAACGGGTTGATATATGACCAAACCTAACCAACCCTACCTAACCTATCTTTATAGGTTAGGTTAGGTATCCGAAAAAGTTAGGTTAGGTTAGGTAGGTTAGGTAGTTGAAAAAACATTAATTCATGAAAACTTGGCTTATTAGGCAAATCGGGCCTTGCATAGTAGGCTGAGAAGTGCGTTCTGGCTACTAGGACATATACGACATATATATATATATATATATATATATATATATATATATATATATATATATATATATATATATATATATATATATATATATATATATATATATATATATATATGAATTTATTATGTTATAAAGGTAAAATTAAGGACAAGTACTGTATAATAAGTGATGCAAATGTTAACACCTTGCAGGTAGCATCCACGACTACACGTTCCTCTGCCTAAAGGGGACGGTGTTCGACCAAGAGACCAGGGTGTGTGAACGCTTCGATGAGGTCGACTGCAGCAAATCCGAGTCATTCTACCATCTCAACAATGATCTCTATGGGCCGGGGATCATTCCCTCCACGGCGTGAGTACCTTCACCACCACTTTGTGTGGTATTACTGCCACATTTGGATTCTGGGCTTGTTTTGGGTCACAGTTAAAATGTGACCTAGAAACAATGTATAATGTTGTATACTTTATACACAATAAAATATATATATACAGTATGTATATATATATAATAGAATATGGTCAAAGTAGGTGGCCAGATGCTTGGGGATTTATATAGCATTCTTGCCCAAGTTTCCAACATGAAACTTGGGAGTATGTGAATGTCATGAGCTAGTTAGGGTCAGCCCAAGTGCTATGCTGATTAAGAAATGTTGGCAACTATAGCGAACCATGCGTTTTTCATGAGGTCTGAAATAAAATCAGGCGGTGTGTTTCCTGTAGAGTTCGGACGCTCACTCCCACAATCTAACCATGTATGTATTTCATGGTTCACTTTAAAACGATGAATGTGAATTCATTTGCGTTCCAGTATTCTGACAACGAGTCACAATAACGTGGCTGAAGATATGAAGACGAAGCCACACATTAGAATATGGAGAAACGACGACGTTTTGGTCCGTCCTGGACCATTATCAAGTCGTGTGTGCTCTGTTTTATCCATTGTAATATCCATTCTAATATTCTCTCATTTATATCATGTGCCTGTAGTTTCCTTACCAGTCTTGCACGTGGTACCTTGTAAAATGCTTTAGCAAAGTCCATATAAACTACATCTGCCGGAAGTCTTTTGTCTTCCGTTGTAACCATTATTAACTCGACTTGATAATGGTCCAGGACGGACCGAAACGTCGTCGTTTCTCCATATTCTAATGTGTGGTTTGGTCATCATTAAAGTATTACATTTTCTGAGAGAGAGAGAGAGAGAGAGAGAGAGAGAGAGAGAGAGAGAGAGAGAGAGATTATATATATATATATATATATATATATATATATATATATATATATATATATATATATATATATATATATATATATATATATATATATATATATATATATATATATATAATATAATGTGTGTGTGTGTATCACGAAAATAAACACGTGATTAAAAATGTAACAGTGTCAGACCACGGAGGAAAATTGAAACAGGAATTTCCTTAAGTACTTTTGTATATTAATACATCTTCAGAAGGAGTGAAGATGTATTCTTTTACATCTATACACTCCTTCCTTATATACTCCTTCTGAAGATGTATTAATATACGAAAGTATTTAAGGAAATTCCTGTTTCAATTTTCCTCCGTGGTCTGACACTGTCACACACACACACACATTCACTCACACACATATATATATTTGTATTACCTTTAGTGTAGTTACTGGAAGAGCTATGTTTGTGGTGTTCTGTTTCCTTAAAAATGTTATCAAAGAGAGTAGTTTTGGCACATAAAACATTCTTCTGAAGGTTTTTCCAACATCTAACAAACTATAGTACGAAGAAATATTTTCTGATACTGTTCATCAGTGTTTCTTGAGCTTGTACCAATGTCCTCATGTTTTATGTGGGGGCAAACAGAAAGAGGCTGCTTTATCAATTTCTCCAGCAGTGTCATTGTCTTGTCATGTAATGATCGTGTCCCAATATTTTTTTCTGTCTTGTTTAGGAAGCTTTAGATCTAATGTCTTCATAAGTCAACTGTCAGAGTTCTGAGATTCATTTTCTTGCATGCCTTTGAATGCATTCAAATTTTGATACATGCATTTTTGAATGTGGACACCATACACGCACTGCATATTTTAGTATCTGTTGCACATAATAAACAGTATATTTATCATTGATTATGCATGAATCAGTCAGATACTTTAATGTTGTCTAGAAGTTACCTAGCATTGCATACCTGCTTGATGGGGTTCTAGGAGTTCTTCTACTCCCCAAACCCACCCCAGGCCAGGCTTGACTTGTGAGAGCTTGGTCCACCAGGTTGTTGTTTGGCGCAGCCCACAGGCCCACATATCCACCACAACCCGGTTGGTCCGGTACTTCTTTTAGAAAACAATCTAGTTTTCTTTTGAAGATGTCCAAGGTTGTTCCGGCATTATTTCTTATGCTCACTGGGAAGATGTTGAACAACCGTGGACCTCTGATGTTTATACAGTGTTCTCTGATTGTGCCTATGGCACCCCCTGCTCTTCACTCGTTCTATTCAGCATTTTCTTCCATATCGTTCAGTCCAGTATGTTGTTATTTTACTGTGTAGATTTGGTACCTGGCCCTCTTGGCCAGGTACCAAAGTACCTGCCAGGTACCTGGCCCTCCAGTGTTTTCCACGTGTATATTATTTGACATCTCTTATCTCCTTTCTAGTAAAGTACATTTGGAGAGCTTTGAGAGATGATCCCAATAATTTAGATGCTTTATTGCGTCTATGCATGCCGTATATGTTTTTTTTCTCTGTACTCCCTCTATTTCAGCAATTTCTCCTGCTCTGAAGGGGGAAGTGAGTACTGAGCAGTATTCAAGATGGGACAGCACAAGTGATTTGAGTACAACCATTGTGATGGGGTCCCTGGATTTGAAAGTTCTCATAATCCATCCTATCATTTTCCTTGGAGGCAATATTTGCTTGGTTTTGTTCCCTAAACGTCAGGTCCTCAGACATCATTATTCCCAAATCCTTTGCATGTTGCTTTCCTACCATAGGAAGATTTAATTGTGTTTTGTACCCTGTATCATGTTTTTACAATACCTGAATACTTGGAATTTATCACTGTTAAACATCATCTTATTTTCTGTTTTGCAGTCAAAAACTTTATTAATATCTGCTTGTAATTTTTCAATGAGTTCAGCAGGGGTAATTTTCATGCCGATTTTTGTGTCATCTGCAAAGGATGACACAAAGCTGTGACTTGTATTTTTGTCTATATCTGATATGAGAATAAGGAAAAGCAGTGGTGCAAGGACTGTACCCTGAGGTACAGAGCTTTTAGCTGCATTTGGACTCGATTTTATTTGATTGACTGTTATTCTCTGTGTTCTGTTTGACAGGAAATTGAGTATCCACTGTCCTACTTTTCCAGTTATTCCCATTGACTTCCCTGTATCCAGGCTCCTTCTCCATATTACACTGAGTGCTCGCGCAACTGATTCTTTACATTTTTTTATGAATATTGAATTCCACGAGTCAGGACCAGAGGCTGAGTGCATGGGCATGTTGTCAATTTCTCTTTCAAAGGCTTTTGAGTTCATGGTAATATCCGTTATATTATCTGCAGCTTGGATGTCATTCATAAAGTTGTCGAATGACTTTGCAAAGTCTGTATACAACATCTGCATTTTGCTTTTCTTCTAGGGCTTGTGTGATTTTGTCATAGTGGTTGAGTAACTGTGACAGACAGGATCTTCCCGCTCTAAATCCAAGTTGTCTTGGTTATGTAGTTCATTATTTTCCATAAAACTAGAAATTTGATTCCTAATCACTCTTTCAAAAACGTTTGTGTGTGATGTTAGTGTAACTGGTCTATAATTTTTTGCCAAAGCTTTACTACCCCCCCCCCCCCCTTGTGTAGAGGAGCTATATCTGCAGATTTAAGTGCTGCTGGTATCTCCCCTGTATCCAGGCTCCTTCTCCATATTACACTGAGTGCTCGCGCAACTGATACTTTACATTTTTTTATGAATATTGAATTCCACGAGTCAGGACCAGAGGCTGAGTGCATGGGCATGTTGTCAATTTCTCTTTCAAAGGCTTTTGAGTTCGTGGTAATATCCGTTATATTATCTGCAGCTTGGATGTCATTCATAAAGTTGTCTGGATCTTCAACTTTTGTGTTGTTTATTGGTGTGCTAAACATAGCCTCATACTAGCTTCTTAGAATTTCACTAGTTTTTAGTTGTCATCTGTGTACATACCTCAGTTGTAATTAAAGGTCCAATATTGGTGGAGGTTTTTAATTTTAATTTTACATATGTGAAAAAACATTTTGGATTTTTCTTAATCTCTTGTATAGCTTTCTGTTCCAATTCCATTTTCTCAGACTCGTATGATTGCTTCAACGTTTGCTCTATTTCTTCGATCTCCCTGTTTAAGTTTATTTTCCTTTCCTGTGATAGTCATGTCTGCTAAAAGATTTCCGTTATTTTATTCCTTCTCCTGTACAGTTGTCTGCGTTCTCTATCTAGAGTGGTCCTCTTTCTGACCTTCCTCTCAGGCACGTGCTTCAAGCAGATCTTGTATGCCTCAGCTGTCAGTTGAGCTATCTCCTCTAATTACCTAAGTGTAGTTACAGGATGAGAACTACGCTCGTGGTATCCCATCTTCCCAGCACTCGTTAAAAAAAGAAATATAAAGTACAGTATATAGTGTCTCGCCTAATTGTATTAGGGGGGATTGAGCTTCGGCTCTTTGGTCCCGCCTCCCAAATGTCAATGAACTGGTGTGCAGATTCCTTAAATATAAAATATACAAGTTCGTTTTCATTGACACAATTCACTTACAGTATATGAGAGAACATGATACAATTAGCCCAATTGTAATTGTAAGCTCCCACAAAATTCTGTGTGGGAGGTTTGTCACTTAGGACTATCTCCCATTGAATGTTTGCAAGGTTTGTATTTATTTTTTCCTAGTCAATTCTGTTATTGTTGAAATTGAATTGAATGAATACCCCTTCTCACTTGTTGGTTCTCTTGGACCTACGATCGTTATTAATGTTAGTTTACACTTCAATGAGCGTGTGGTCTGAGCATGGAGTATCTGAGATTGTAATGTCTGATTAGTTCATCATTGTTTGTGAATAACAGGTCTAGTGTGTTTTCATTCCTAATTGGTTCTGTAATCTGTTGATTGAGTGAGAATTTGCTACAGAATGTCAAAAGTTCTCTGACCTGTGGTTGATTATTTTCAGGGTGGTTCCTTGCAATTATATTTTTGTTTGCTATTCTCTGTCTAAGACTTGGTAGATTGAAGTCTCCAAGGAAGATAATATCTGGAACTGGGTTTGCTATGTTATCAAAGATGTTCTTTATTTTGTGCATCTGCTCTGTGAATTCCTCAACTGTTGTATATGGCAGTTTATATATTAGAATAATAATTAGGTTTATTTTTTCTACCTTAATTCTAAGTGCCTCTACCACCTCATTGGTTGAGTTTAATTGGGTCTGTGCATACAAGGTCCTCTTTAATATACAGACCTACTCCTCCATTTGACCTAGTTTCTCTATCACCTCTATATAAATTATAGTTTGGAATCCAGATTTCACTATCCATGTAATCTTTTATATGAGTTTCCGTGAATACCCCAAATATTGAGTTTAACTATACTAGGATGCCATTTATGAACTTAACTTTATTTCTTGATTTTGACTTTAGACCTTGTATGTTTGCAAATATGAATGATTTTCCATATTGTGTTACTTTTGGTAGGTTTTGGTTGTTCTCCACTTTCTCCATCCTGACCCAGGGTGTGCTGTTCTGGCCTCACAGGGTGAGCTCCTGAACATGCCCCACCCCAGGGTGAGGCATAGGCCTTGCACACTTTTCCATTCATATGATTGTGTAGTGACCATTACTTGCTTTATAGCATTCTTATCCTTGGTCACTTGTGCATAGCTACTTTCCATTTCAAATTTCCATTCCTCATGTACACAGAGAAATCACATTGTGATATATCAGTGTCGTGGCGTAGTCGACTAGTGTGTGCATCTGGGAACACCCAGCGCACAGGTTTGAACCCTCATTACGGCTCTTGTGGATTTTCTCATTCCTCATGTTCCTCAGTTATTATATTTGGTTGCTTATAATTTTCTGATTTTAATTAAGTTCCCTACAAAACTTGTTACCAATGAATTATACCATTTAAGCTTTAAATGCAGATAATTCACCATTCAGTGTCTCCTTTTTCCTGAACTAACTCATTTCATCTTCGAAGCTTAATGCTTGCTGCTTTTCTTCCAGTTGGTTCAATTTTGCCCACAAACATGTCATTAATGAGTGATCTTCACAGAAACCCCTCAAAATCTGTATTTATCCTATGCTCTATGAGCCCTGCATATTCCTTAAATAGGCAAATGTCCTCACCAGGTCACTGCTGTACTTCAGGGGATACTTGCTTATCCATAGACTGGTCTGGTTGTTTCAATTTACAGCAAACAAAGATGACCAGCACCAAATCAGTGAACACACAAGCAACAATCTCCCTTGTTTTTGCAAATCTTGTGCCCTTTTGCCCCTTTATTTTCTAAGTGAATGACTAATCAGTTACTGGAACACCACTACATACTCTCCAATATTGAACCTAGTTAGGTAAATCTCTTGACTTCAAGCTTGAGAATTCTGATGATGCAACCTGCCTGATTGGTTATTTGTGTGTGTAATTACATAGCATAGGTGTTGTTAGAGGATGTGTGTGAATATTTGTGTTTGCTTTTGTTTTAATTAGTGGGAATACAGTACATGAAGTAAAATTAGGGAAATGGTCACCTCAATTTTATTAGTGTATTAGAGATTGTAAATTAAATTAGTTTTAGAAATAGCACTGCCTCCTTTGACTAAAGTACTGTACAGTATATTAATTTATATAAACATTTAAATAGTATTGTGCCTTTGCTGGGAAAGGTTATTAATACCGCACAACAAAGTTGGCATGAAGGTCACATTTACTGGCCCCACAGTGCTTAAATGGCAGCAATAATTGTTAACATGTACATTAAAAAGCTTCAATGTGTATTGTCAATAAATAGTGAAGCAGTGTAGCTGAATTTACAATTTGAGAAAACTAATATTCTAAGAGGATTGATATGTTTTAGAAAATGTATAACATGATGATGATGTATATTACATAAAATATTTTATTATAATGTACTTATGTACATAAAAAGTACTTGTTATATGTGGTCCTGCTGTCAAGGTATCTTCTAGCTTCTGTCACTTGTGTATGTGAGAAATGATAATGAAGGGGGTTAAAGAAAATTAATTTTCAGTAACCTGAAAACTCAACATTTGATCATTAAAAATGTGAGCACCTCACTTTAGGTAAAGCATTTGAAAATAAGTAATCATCAAACATAAACATTGGAAAATGTCTCTAGCCTCAGTATCTAACAAACACTTTATGATATGGCATTAAGTTTGTCAAGTACTTATTACTGTAATTGTAATGTCCGTGGTCATAAATTGAGCATTCAAGCACTGAAATAAATATAGAAACCCCAGCAATTGCCCCTTGTGGAACTTTCACACTTTCACTGTGCTATTCTGCTGCTTGCAAATCACTTTGCTGTTCTCTTACATTGATCTTCATGACTGAAGTAGATTTGCTTGCTTTACAGTTTATAAAAGAAAACTACTTGATAATTGTGTGATTTCACAATTTACTTCCTTGATCTCTAAAGCTAGTGGTGGATAGCTGGGTGTTAAGAAATCATTTGTCCTTATTGCTTGTGATACGGGTTGATAAAATTTGAATTGAATTGCCATAGTGATAACAATAGACTTTGGAAATTAATCATTCTCTAGTAATATATGTTCATGTAAATTTTAAATTCACTTAATGACTCACTGTAGTGTGAATAGGGGTAGCTGGTATGTGGGAAGTTTCTTAGATAATTTATATTCATTTTTGTGTACAGTAATCTGTACTAAAGATGAAATTTTAAGGCACATTTCAATTTGTGTTGAGTTTATTGCACTTAATTCACACTGTGCAATTGGGGTAAAGCTTATGAATGATAAAACATGGAAATATTGGTTTTTATCATTTGTTATTCATTTTGGAAAACTTTAGTGAAATGTATAGTTGCATAATAATTTAAGTTGCAATATATATTAAGATAAATTGCTGTTGTTTGGTAGTCCACCACTAGCTACTGTATCTCTAGTATAACATTTTAGGTACTGTACTGTATTTTATGCTAATACTTGCTTGTATTTAGCGTTTCTTGGTAACTTCGTTCTGGGATCACCCTGGGTTCTCAATTTTCTCCATGTCTGCACCTAGCCTCGTTTCCTCCTTCCCCCAGAGACTCGGAGGGCAACCCCAGCGCCGCTAAAGTGCAGGTTCTGGAGCCCACTGTCGCCCTAATGGGGGCTCCTGATCCTCCCACAGTCCCTACTGATACTTCGGAAGCTACACTCCCACCTGGTCCTCATTCCCAATCCCAGCCCCTGCCGACACCCACCAGTTCCCCACTACCTCCTGTGGTTCCTCCTGGAGTTACTGCCTCTACTACTCGTATGTCCACTTCTACCTCTTCCTCTATTACAGCTGCCTACTCCTTTCCACCCCTACCCTTTACTATCACCAGAACATCTACTTCTGTGTCTGCCTCCTCACGTGTCCGCATCCAGACACCCCTTGCGCAGATCTCCTTCAACCAAGGTGTGGACCCTTCAGTCCTACCTGCACCCCACCTCCGGCCCTCCTTGCTCCGCCTCGCAGCTGAAGCTCAGAATGCAGCACAGGCAGCAAAGATACTTGAGGATCACAACCCCACCTCGTCCCCCGCAGTCACCGTTCAGACGCCCGCTAACTTCGAGGATGTTCCCAGACTTTCTGTATTCCATCTTGATACTTCTGGTGCTGGGGCCACTAATAATAATGGTGGGTCTTCTCATAGACGAAAAAGACAACTGACACACAGAGATCAACATTTTTCACCTTCTTTAACCCAGGAAGATGGAACTTTGCTTACTGCTACTGCTCCCACTTCTTTCAGACTTAATAATCAAGACCACATAGTAACCTCTACAGACAGTTTTCGAAGAACCATTTCCTCTAGGGGTCGAATAAGGTTTAGGCAATCAGATTCTCAAGATCAGTCTCTTACAGTTAGGCAACCGGTAAATCCAGTTAGAGATGGTTCTTCAAAAAATAGGCAACAGAGTCAGGCAATAGCCAGGCAGAGAGGCAATACTGTACAAAACAGGCAAAAAGACAGTCAGTTACCTGTCAGACGACGAATCAGACCACTAACAAGTTTGCCAAGAATTATTCCAGTATCTAATATTCAGATTGATGAGCTAGTTAGTGACAAACAACATGAATCTCAAGGGTTGGAAAGGCAAAATGAACCCTCATTAAGATCTAGACAACATGGTAGAATTCGTGTTTCAAAGCCAATTAGCCGTGCCCAAGTGACGAGACGCAGGCCAGTGTCTCAGACTTTCACACAAGATTCTTCTACACACAGTTCTGTCCAGCAGGGCAGTTTCTTACATGACAGTGTTTCAGAGACTCCCTTGCAGCTAGCTGACCCTACTCCAGTACCACCCACAGTCTTGACAGCCGAATTCCCCCCTGACAGCCACATCAGAGTCTTTGACGGGGATGAGGCAACAGCTAGGACACACATCATCAGTACTCCCGACTTCATTACACCATCACCGTTTGTGTTTCCTGAGACAAGCTTCTCCTGTGTAGACAAGATCCTAGGTGGATTGTATGCCGATGTAGAAACAGGATGTGTTGTTTTCCATATCTGCTCAGTGGAACCAAATTCAAGGTTAGTATTCATTATGAAATTTTTCTTTTGTAATATAGTGTACCATAAGAATTTGTATTGACTTGATATTCTGATGTTTACAATATAATGCTATACCAGTTGCAAATGGATGAGTAATAAAACACATTGTATAAGCTTTTAAATTTACAGAAGTTAATCAATTTACTAGCAAAAAAAAAAAAAAAAAAAACTTTGATTTCTTGTTTTGTTCATTAGAACCAAGGACAACAAGTTTGTGTGTGGCAGTGGGACTTTGTTTGACCAGAAGACCCGCACATGCCAAACAGCTGCTGCTGTTGACTGTGCAAAGGCCCCTTCTTTCTATTATCTGAATGAGCCATTCAAAGGACCAGGTATGAACCCATAATACTATTATACAGTGTACTTAATTTGCATTGATATATAAATATTAAAAACAAACTATTTCACATACAGGTATTTTGTAATTTTGCTTTGGTAGTAGTAGAACATTGCTGACAACAATGTAGAGAAACACCAAGATAAGAGTAGATGTTATTTATAGATTGTATTTTGCCATTACAGGTGAAATGTCATCTTCAAATAATGTCTATTCTCCTCATGGTGTTCTCAACAATTTGTATCTATGTACAAGGGGTTTATATACAGGTACGGTCATGCAATATGAGAGAGATTTACATATCTATTCAGATAGGCCCTAACCATCATTTGGAGGTGGGTGCTGAAGTTGAGTCTCTTGTCTAGGTATAGGCCAAGGAACTTTCCATCATTTTTATTGCTAATGTTTACATTATCTATCTGAAGTTGAATTGCATTTGTTGATTTGCTTCCAAATAAGATGTAGTAGGTCTTTTCTATGTTTAGTGTGAGTTGGTTGACATCCATAAGTGGACTTTTTTTAATTCATTGTTTACAACACTATTTAAATGAGTGGGTTGGGGTCAGAGTAGATGAGAGTAGTATCATCTATTCTGATCATCATATAGGTTTAAGCATGTTAGAGACATTAGGCAGATCATTGATGTATATAAGAAACAGGAGGGGCCCTAGGATGCTGCCCTGTGGCACTCCTATGGTTAGTGGTAGAGTAGGAGAGGTTATATCATTGATGGCTACATATTGGTGTCTGCCACTAAGATAGGATCAGATATAGTTCAGGGCAAGGCCATGGATTCCATAATGGTGGAGTTTAAGTAAGAGGTAGTTACGGTTAACAGTATCAAAAGCCTTTCTCAGGTCAATGAAGAGTCCAATCGGAAACGCACTCTTAGTCACTCTATAATTCTTAGTCAGTGCTTTACTCCCGCCCTCCCCTTGTGTGGGAGGGCTATGTCTGCTGCTTTCAGCACATCTGGTATCTCCCCCGTGTCCAAACTCTTCCTCCACACTATACCGAGTGCCTGTGCTACTGGCATTTTGCATTCCTTTATAAATATTGAATTCCATGAATCTGGCCCCAGGGCTGAGTGCTTGGGCATGATGTCAATTTCTCTTTCAAAATCTGCCACGCTCGTGTTATTAGTTATATTTACAGGGGTTCGGATATCACGCATTAAGAAATTGTCCGGATCTTCCACTTACATGCTGTTTATTGGAGTGCTAAACATGTCCTCATTCTGCTTTTTTCAGGATTTCACTAATTTCTTTGTCATCCTCAGTGTATGAACCTTCACTTGTACAAATAGGTCCAATACTGGCAGTGGTTTTTGCTTTTGATTTTGCATGTAGTTTGAAGAAATATTTTGGGTTTTACTTTATTACTTGTATTGCTTTCTGTTCTAGTTGCCTTTCTTCAATCTGATATGAATGCTTCAGTCTCTGCTCTATTTCTACAATCTCCCTGTTTATATTACAGTATTCCTTCTTTATGTGGAAAGTCGTGTCTGCTTAAGCATTTCCGTTATTTTTTTTTTCCTTCTTTTGTAGTGTCGCCTGCGTACACTTTCTACAGTGGGGCTTTCCTCAAAGGAACATGTTTCAGACAGACTTGATATGCTTTGGAAGTCAGTTGTTCTATTCCATGTGTAGGATTTTTATTACTTGGAACAGTTTCCCATTGAATGTTTGAAAGTTCCCTGTTTATCCTTTTATTATTAAAATTGAATTTACTGAATAACCCCTCTTGCTTGATCATTGTTTTAGATCAATTCCAAGTATTGATGTTAGTTTGCACTTCAATGAGCTTATGATCTGAGTATGTGGTATCTGAAATCATAATGTCCCTGATTATGTCTTCATTGTTTGTGAAGATCAAATCTAGAATATTTTCGTTCCTAGTTGGCTCAGTTATTTGCTGATTGAATGAAAATTTGTCACAGAATCTAAGTACAGTAGTTCTCTAATCTGTGGTTGATTATGTCCAGATAGATTTCCTGGTATAATAATATTATTTGCTATTCTCCATCTTAGACTAGGCAGGTTGAAGTCACCTAGGAAGATATCATCAGGTATTGGGTTTGCAAAAATTATCAAGACTTATCTCTATTTTGTTTATCTTGTTCTGTGAATTCCTCAGCTGTTGCATCTCGCAGTTTGTATATTCTGTTTGTAATACTACATAATTATACTATAGTATAATTCTACAGTACCATTAAACAGCTTTAAGAGTACAGTAAATGGAGATGTTCACAACGAGGACAAAATACACAAATTCAAATTTTTTTTTGCTGGCTGACCACTGAGGATGAGGGGGAAGACAAATTTGTTTTTATGCAGAGTGTAGTTTTGTACCATTTATGAATCCTCATATGTACTACTGGACTCTATTCTAATGTTTCTATTACTACCTATTTTTTTTTAATTTCCTTAGATGTGCACTCTTTGCTTTTAGTTTATTTCTGAAAATTATGTTCCTTGTAAGGTACAAGTTCACTGCATTAGCACAATTTGAAAGCATGGGGGTCAATTTTAATCTGCAGTACCAATAACTCTCTGCTTGTATTAATGATCTATCTTGATGCTACTATTGGTTATATTCCAAGAGGCTTGGCTTTCTAGATCTGGCTTCCTATTATTCTTCTGAACTGTTATCCCTATTTCTTGCAGTCCACGTAGAAGTCCTATATCCTGAGCATGAGTTTGACTTCCCTCGTATCCCTTCCTCTCCTCTCACCTCTTCCAACCGAGGACGTCGAAGTGCAGGTAAAGGCCCAGGTGTGTTTTTGACATGGACAAACTCAAGACACCTTGACATGGGCTTACCTACTGAATAGTGTTTTCTTAACTGGCTATGAAAAAAACTAGAAACCACCATAGCACTTAATTATTAATCATTTTAATGTTAGATAGTGACATCAACATGAGTCATGTAATCTTACAAAATCCCTTTTTATATGTAGTACCATTCATTATATTCTGTATTATACATATTTAGCTAACAAGGAGAGCTGTTACAATATAATACCTCCAGCTTTTTCCCCCTACATTGGGTTATGTGCTGTAATTAATTGTAATGAGTGTTTTTGTGCATAGTGCTGAATGTGTGTTTTTTGCCTCTAGCTGAGGTTGAGGCAAGCTTCCAAACCAGATGCAGATTACAGTACTGTACTCTCATGTTTTAAACATGGAAATGCATATAGCAGAGCTATACACACAATTATTGTTAACATAAAATACAAAATTCAAATATAAAATCTCCGGTTACATAGCAAGAGACTAGGTCAAATTAGCTGTGCAATCAGTGCAAAGCTATTTTGGATGTACTGTTCTGTGATGGAAATAGGAAGTCTGTGTATGGTGTGTCAAGATTACCTGAGTCAAGGGCAACTTTGGTGAGTGTTATACTTGAGTCGGTATTTGTTTGATGGGCTGCTGTTACTTGCAATAACATCTTGAAATAATTATGAACAGTAATTATTATGATAACACCAAAGCCAATTATACGCACTTCTACAATATATATATTTTATGTACTCTTCAGCATATTTCTGGTGCATCAGTAAGAACATGTTATAAATTCCTGTTCATAAGTCAGAACCATTGTGCAGAATTTCTAAGCTATTACATTTGATTGCTAATTTACTACATTTTGTTGTAGTGACCTGTATGCAGTGGTCAATGCAATAGGAGTTTACCTCCTATTGCAGTACCTCCATATTACCTCCAATGCTTCTCTTCAAATGGATAAATAAATCACATTAACATTATGTATCAATGAGAAAATCAGTTGAAGCCATGTGGGTAGAACTCCTATACCACACCAGTGTGTGTGTGTGTGTGTGTGTGCAGATAATGCATAAAACCCTTATTTGGCGTCAATAGATGCCTGGACCCCCCTCCCCTAGAGCCCAACTGAATATCAGGTTACATTTCTTTTAGCATATCGTGGTCCAGTGGTTTAAGGCATGTGCTTTGGAGTACCCAGTATGCAGGTTCGAATCTTCCTCCTACTTTAACCATGCCCATCTTTACTCATTACATTTCAAGAGGAAAGTAAATTAAGCTTAATTTCTCTCCATAATGGAGGTACAGTATCTAATTCCAGGGATTAGCCTTTTTATCCTTTTCTGTACAGGTTCAAATGAATTTATCTCCATTTCATAGTATGGGAACCAAAACTGGACTACATAATCTAAATGGGACCTAACAAGGGCAAGATAAAGCTGAAGAATAACAGTACAGTAAATATCTTTCTGCATAAACCTGACAAATTAAACTTTCCCCGATTTACAAACTTTTTGCTTACCTTGCTGGAAAATACTTCCTTTTAAATTACAACTCATTCTTGAGACCTTCATTTTCTTGTTCCAATTTCCTGGTAATTACTTTTTCTTCATAATTCTTTAGCAAGTCCTCAATAATCACTAACTTGCCAAGAAAACCACCTTTTCTGTGGGGAGCCCCTATGGCTCCCTGGAGCTTACTGACTGATATGCATGTATTTGACTGTGGTATCAGTCGATTGGAGTTCTTGCCTGCCGGGGACCACGAGCCAGAACCTGGCCCCCTCAGAGAGGCACAAGGAGCAGTGACCTATGGAAACCTCCATGTTTCTGCGGTCAATATATGGGCCTGTGGGCCGCTCCAAGCAACAGCCTGGTGAACCAAGCTTTCACAAGTCGAGCCTGGCCTTGGGCCGGGCTTTGGGAGTAGAACAACTCCCAGAACCCCATCAAGCAGGTATGTATTTGGAAGTGTTCCATGTCTGCCATCGACCGGGGTCTGGCACCCAGAATGGTAGGGTTTAACAAAGCAAACACCACATGGTTAAAATCGTTACCAAAACCTGAATAGAGGGGCAATACTCCCAAACTAAAACAAGCAAACATCACTGATGCCGTCGTGCCGATCATCGGTGCAGCAGCCCCCCTCCCCCTAGGAGGGGGAGGGGTATCCTGGATCCCCTGTGAAGCATGGGGTCAGGAAGCATGGGGGGTTTCCCCCTTCAGCATTCAGAACTGAATGCTACAGCATTCAGTTCTGAGGCTGAGCATCAAAAAAAGTGAAAAAAAATGCCAACCAGATGAAGGGAGGGTGCCGGGAAGCCTCCAGTGCTTGCCCAGAAAATAGCATTTCATTACATTAAACGCTGTTTTTTTGTGGGGAGCCCCTATGACTCCCTGGAGCTACCTAACCCATGAAAAGAATAAGAATAAGGATTAGAAGAACTCCCAGAACCCCATCAAGCAGGTTCCTTCGGAGTCGGCAGCATCTGGTCTGTGCAGTGGTCGCGCTGCTCGTCGGCCGGCTTTTCATAAGGGGCGTTGGCGTTTAGTGGTTTGCCCTTTTGATGGGGCGGTGGGGGGGAGGCTCGCGCTGTTTGCTCATGCCTAGTTCCATGATTCGTGGGCATTTCGGGTTTTTTCTTCCGGCCTGTGATGACATTGGGTGGCTCCTCCAGAGGAGGTGGTGCTCGGGGCTAGTGTATTGCCCCTACCTCTCGGATGCATATTGGCACGTCCCGATTCATCCGGGGTTCAGAGAATAGTTAGGATTTGTGGTGGGGCGGCAAGCTTTCCACTTTTGTTGCCTTTCATTTGGCCTGAATCTGGCCCCTCGCGTATTCACATGGGTCATGGTGACCCGTCTGCATCTGTTAGGGGTTCGGGTCCTGGCCTACCGTGACAACTGGCTGGTGTGGACTCCCAGCAAGTCTGCATGTCTGCTTGCCAGGGGTGTGGTTCTTTCCCAACTCACCGGGTTCATTTTCTGGTGAACCCATCTGGTTCTGTCCTGGGATCGGTCTTACCTGTACCTCTTTCCCAGGTCCAGCTGTTACTTCGAGGCCTGGTTTGGTTGGAGTCTTACCAGGGGAGAGTAGTCTTGTTGGCTCCTTGGTTGCCTGGCCAGCCTTGGTTTCAGGCTGCTTGCTCGGTGTCCAAACCTGCGATGTTTCCGCGGCTCCACCTCTTTCAGCAGATCGGCCTGGTCAGATACCTGGCTAGTTTGGTCTTCTCCGCTCTTCGCATCTTGTCTTTCTGACATGGGTCTATCACCACTTGTATGGTTATCAGGTTGGTTCATTGATGGTGTCCCACCTGCGAGCTTCGTCTCGGCGACAGTATGAAGTTTCCTGGCTCTTTTCTCTCTCTTCGTAGGTTGTCCTCTGTTTAGGATAGGGTTGTTTTTGTCCTTTCTATCTTGGCTTTTTCAGGACCGTCATTTGATGCCCAATAATGTCGCCTCGTATAGTGTGGCGCTGGTGGAGCCACTTCAGCTTGCGTTCCAGGTGGATGCTACTAACACACCATTCCGTAAGCTTTCACGTGCTTTTTCACCTCCAGCCTGCTCATGCATCGCCTGAGTCATCCTGGTCCTTGAACAGGGTGCTATCTCTTCTCTTCTCGGTTTGTGGTGGCCCCTTTGGTACAAGATTGCTTTTCTAATGCTCTTTTCCTCTTGGCATTGGCTTCTGGGGGTTGGGTCGCGGAGCTTCATGCTTTCCTCCGGCAGAGAGGTTTCTGCTCTTCCAGTCCTGGCGGTAGGCTTGTTCGTTTGCAGCCGCCTCCTTCTTTTCTGGCAAAGAATGAGTTGGCAGCTTTCCAGAGGGGTCCTTGGGTCGTTGATGCTTAGTTGGTCAGGCCTTGGGGTGCATTATGTGTTGTTTGGTTGCAGCTCTTTGCCATTACCTACGCCACAGCCTCTGTGGCCAGAGATGCACTTTGGGTTGACCCGGTTTCACACGTTCCCTGTTTCAGGGCTCGGGTTTCCCAGGTCGTCCGCAGGGTTATTTGGTCCAGCCAGCCTGCTGTCTATCCTCTTGCCCATAACGTTCATAAGTTTGCTGCTTTGGCTGCCGTCTTTAGTAACATGTCTTGGGCTGACATTGGGGCACGGGGATTTTAAAGGTCGAACAGGGTCCTGGCCTCCCAATTACAGTACAGTACCTCATAAACATTCCTGGCCCCTAGTAGGGCATGTGTCACTTTTGGTCGCAGGGTGCAGCCAGTTGTCTTGATGTCAAGTTGAGATGTAAGTGGTGGCTGCCTGCTGGATAAGTCCCTCTTAACACTTCTTTGGTTAGTTAGCTCCAGGTAAGCCATAGGGGCTCTGCACAGAAAACTAGCGTTGAATGTAATGAAACGCCATTGTCTGGGTAAGCCAGACTCGCCTGGCTCCCTGGCACCCTCCCTCCCTCCGGTCAGCGTTTTTTTTTTTTTCTCTCGTTTTTTTATGCTCGGCCTCAGAACTGAATGCTGTAGCGACTGGTGCAGGGAGTCTGGCCCCCATCTGGCTGTGCAGATGATTGGCATTAGTGACGTTTGCTTGTTTTAGTTTGGGAGTTTTGCCTCTATTCGGGTTGTGGTAGCGATTTTTCCAAAGTGGGGTTTGTTTTGTTATGCCTACCATTCTGGCTGCCAGACCCCGGTCGATGGCAGATGTGGAACACTTCCAAATACATGGGGTGTTTCCATAGGCCACTGCTCCTTGTGCCTCTCTGAAAAGGCCATGTTCTGGCATGTGGTCCCCGGTAGGCAAGAACTCCAATCGATTGATACCACGGTCTAATACATACATATCAGCCTGGTGCTCACCCAGAAAATGGCATTTCATTACATTCAGTGCTGGTTTTTTGTGGTTGTGTTTTGTGTTGAGAATCCTTTGAAGTATTTATCTGTTGGTGTGTTGCCCTTCCCTGTGGTGGTCGCGATCTTTGTTGTTGACATGCTTCTGTTTTGAAATATCAACTTTACGTGTGTGTGTGGGTTTTAGTGCAAGACACGTGAAGTAGTTTTGATAGAGCTAAACAGGTCGAGAGTCAGTATATCAGACAACTGATGGGTAGAAAGGAATGGTCCAAGAGCTAACAGCTCGATTCTGGAGGCACAAATAGTGACTGCAAATGGTTACTTTGGGTTGATTCTGGGGGTCAAGGTCCCTGTGGCCCAGTCTCTGACCTGGCATGTAAATACAGCACCACTCTACTTCTTCATAACATTGTAGTTGTACAGTTTTCATTACCTGTGGTGAATTATCAAATATACTACAATCAAATACTTTCATTACCTTCTTACTTACTGCTGCCACTCAGCCGTGTTCCTTATCAAATCACATGCATTGTGTGTACTCACTACAGTACCTGCTTTTTACATGCCATGTCAGACCATCTCCATACACTTCCTCTTCTTTTTCTACTGTCATTTTTTTTTAATATTCTACTCCCAGTCTATCACCATCCATTTTGTTTAACATGCTCTCCTCAATCTTGCACAGTATGACATATTCCTTCATTATACTATTTGCTTTTAAATTTGTATTAATCCTTCAAAATCAATCGACAGATGGCAATGTTGATCTCTGTCGTACTCGTCCCCTGGGTACACCACTAGCAGACCTTACCACAGGTTGCCAAGACTACACAGTCTGTGAGGCTCTAAGTGATAACAGACTTTCGGAAAAACGGTTCTCATGCAAGAAAGGATATCTCTTCTCACAGCTCCGACAGCATTGTACACTTGCTAAGAAAGTAAGTGTTTCACAATTATCTTTAACATTTTGTGATATATCAATTGATGTAACATTTACCACATGAAGCAGCTATTTAAATGAAATTTTGTTTTAATTGCATTATCACTTACAGGTGAATTGTGCAAAGGAGACTTTGAGTGAAATTCTTGGCATGGGATCTGTAAAAAGACAAATCATTGCAAACAGAAAAAGGCGTGCAGCCAGTCTTTTGCAATCTCACCGATTTCGTCGTGCTGCTCTGCCACCCTTAGCTAATTTGATAATAACGCCAGGAGTGGAGGATGCACGTGTACGCCGTGCTCTCTACAATCTTGCTGCACTTCAGCAATGGACTTTAGAAAATGCCCAGCATTCAACTTTCATTGAAGTGTATGCCTTGCAAACTGATGGGAAAGATCTTTATCCAAAGAAAGTATATGTTGATACTATGGTTCCTATTTCTAGTGCTGAGGCAGTACAAAGATATGGCTATATAAATCGCAAAAAGAGGGATGTTGCTAATATCACTGTGGCAGAACAAGTGCTTACTGGTAATCAAACCAAAATAGAAGAAGCATTTGCATCATCTTCTATAGTAACATCACCTGGTAGTTCGGATGAAGTTGAAGAAACAAAATTTAAACACATTGACTTTGTTACTAACACTACTTTGAAAGATGCTTTCAATCATCCAACTATTGCTACTACAACTATTGGCTTAAGTCCAACCGTTCTTCCAACAGTAATTATTACCAGGCAGAAGGACACTGCATCGACTTCATTTGTCAGTCCAACTCATCCAGCAATACCCACAACATTATCGACTGTCACAATATCTCCAGAACGCACCTCTTTGAAAACTACATCCACGACAACAGTCACTGTAACTCCTGTAACTGTAACTGTTACAACTACAAAGACTATTGTCCCAATATCAATGAGCAATATTCAAGCAGAACTCTCTCCTACAGGAACAGCAATTGCTACTTCAGCTACGCAACTGTCTGCATATTTGACCACACCTCTTCCACCACCTTCAACTACAACAACGATAGTTGATTCTGTTTTAAAGGTTACTTCCACACCATCACCAGAAGGAACTTCAACTTTTCCAAATATTCCATTAAATACAGAAAATAGTACCTCTGAAATACAACCAACAAGAACTGGATCAGCCTCTGATTTGGACTCGATTCCTCCTCAAGTTCTAGCTGACAATCAAACGGTACAATCAGTTACAAATGATACTTCATTACAAAATTTCGCAAATGAAAGCTCAATAGCTTCATCAACACATCTTGAAGTAGGCGAGTCTCCAACTACTTTTAATTCATCTGTGACTGTTGTTGAAACTGAAGGCACTAATATTACAGAATCAAGTGAGAGTTTAGCTAATTCTTCCACTACTGAAGCAGTTCAGCATTCTGGAGTGGGAACATCAACAACTGTAACTACCTTACCTACTGCCTTGAACATGAGCACAGAAATGAGTCAGACAGAAAATGTCACAGCTTCAACTAACTTCACAATTTTAACCACCACGGAAGGCACTACAGACGTTCATCCATCAGACAGTGTTAATGTCACTTCAACAGTGGAACCACCAAAAGATTCAGATGTGTCAGTAAATTCTTCAACAGGAGCAGTAACTCCATCATCTGTCACACCTCAGGGACCCTTCACTAGGGAAAATTTACCTGAAACCAATTTTACTTGTAAAGACAAGAAGCTAGAGCAGTTTTATCCTGACCCTGAGGCTAATTGCCAAGTATTTCACTATTGCTCACCAGGCTTTGTCAAAAAACAAGTTCTTGATCTTAAATTCCTGTGCACTGGTGCAACTATGTTTGATGTCAACACTCAAAAATGTGAAGATATGGCAAGTGTAACTTGTGGTTTTGACAAACCAACAACTCCCAGCACCAAAACTACAGAAAGTACTACAAAGTTTTTCAGCGTTTCTCCTGTTGTGATCAATGCTACACACACATCCTATGTTGAACCACCACTAACAACTGAAAACACAACCACATCATCCAACATAACCACTCCAGCATCAACAACTGAAAGTGCAACTATAGCCCCTGAATTCAATGGTACCATCGGTAGTCATGAAAACTGGAACAATACAGAGTCATCACATCATCTTTCCAACATTAATGTCACAGTTGGTAAAAATATTACATTTATAGAAACTACTGATCAGTCAATTTTAGAAACTACAACAATAACAGAAGATCTCTCGCTCATGCAACCTGAAGAAACAGTCACTGAAATTGTAGAACCATCTAGCACAACAGTTGAACCTACCTTTGAGTTTATAACAGAAACAGACCTTCCAGAGATTGAGACAGTAACTTATCAAGATGATAGAGAAGATATTTTCACTAGCACTGAAGGTCTAAGCACTGAAGGTCTAAGCACTGAAGGTCTAAGGGAAATTTTTCTCTCAACAACTGAATTCTTAATTCAAGGTGAACCAGAAATAACAACAGAACTGGTGCCTGTGTTCCATCCCGATATTATATATGAATCGACAACACCCACAACTGAAGAAATAACTGATGGCTCAACAACAAAATTAAATATTGACACTGTTACCGATTCCACACCCTTTGATTCATCTTCTTCCACTTCAGAAGAAACCACAACATATATATCAGTATCAACTAATATATCTGCATTCAGTAATCATTCAGCGTCAAGTGAAATCTCGGTGTCTAGTAATGTGTCTGTGTCCAGTGATGCATCTTTGCCTGTCAATCGCAATACAACAGAGGCAGCAGCAGCAGCATTGTAAGGTCCAGCACATATGGACTAGAAGGGTATTAATGGCATGTCATGATTCATGTCTGTATTAATATAATTTTTGTTTATTTATTCTTGATAAATATCATTATAGGTTATGAGAATTTTGCCTGTTAATCATAATATTCCGTGCCAAAAATATTTGCCTACTCTAGACTCTAGGAGCACAAAACATTCCACATGGTATAAATTTCCATCGCTGTGATACATTTATTCAAGTAGGTAAGCACTACAAATGGGAAAACCATGTACAGGTATTCCGTTTTTAGAAAATACTTTTACTTATTAAACATGAAATCATGTCTTACTGTATGCCGGATGTGTAATACACAGATTTTTCTCTGATTTCTGTTTTTGTCATTAGTTATATCCTGTGTTGAATTCACATACAGTACTGTACTCTTTACTCCCAGAGAGAGTCGACAAGTTATGAGTGATTTGGAGTCGCTGAAGTTTATGAACAGTATGGTTAGGAACATCATGTTTTCTATAATTTAATTCATTCCAGTAAAAAAAATTTAGGCACTTTTTAAAGCTGTGATGTAGCTATTAATGTCATCAAAGCACATGCCATCAAAGCTGATTCAAATTATTAAGGTATAGCCAAAGTGGTGAATTACCGTCTAGACAAACAAAAGTTCAGAGTAGACTTTATTTGTTAGCCTAAAAAAGTTATCTGTAAATAGTCTACACTTATCTTTGTGTGTGTACACAACTGTCAGCACTTTGTACTCTTCAACCCTTGGCCAGTTATGAAATACTACCATGGCTCTCCTACCAGAGCTGTTTTTACATATTGTGTTTGGACTCCTGATTTTGTTCAACATATTTGATTGACTCCAACTTCCTTATGGCTTTCATACTGACTGAAATGGAGTAAAGTGTGCCGTGATATGACTAGACACTACACGACAGAAGCAAAAAATGTGTTTGTGGCGATAAACATAACAGGGATGTAGATCATCCAGATGTTGTGAATTCATTTCCTTTTTAGGAATTCATTTAAACGATAGTGCCAGATCTGTATGAGAATTAATGACTAATTGTTTTGACTACAGTACTTGAGTATATGTCTCTGTAACTACTTTCATGTATAGTTTTATCAGCTGATCACTCTAAGATAAATTCATTATATTAGTGCTTTAGGACTGCTCTGGTTTACCTTTTGTCTTCTCTAAATCACACTTAAGGTTAAATTTTTCCACTTTTGTTGTATTCAAAGTCTATATGCAATATACAGTTGTACATTTTCATCAGTGTCGGATAACTTCAGCAGTGTCAGATAGCTTCATTGGTGTCAAATATCTTCATCACTGTCAGATATCTTCATCATTATCAGATATTTTCATCATTGCCTGATACCTTCATCAATGTCAGATGTCACTTTACTTTTCTTTTGCAGCTAACTAAAGAAGCACAAGATGTGTGTAATTTCCACAATGATATACAGTACATCGTCAATATCAACAACCAGGATTCATTTCATGTAAAAATATCATTTTATATTCATATCTAAACTTTTGTCTAGGCCTTAAAAGGTGACCAGTTAGCATTGTCCCCATGCATTGCATTCAGTTAAAATTTTTGTTTATAAGTTATTAGCTAGTGTTGTTATGCATATGTACAAGACATAGCCTTACACAGAACTAGGCTCCATTTCCACAGATATGAAGCATTGCGGATGCAAAATAGCATGGTATTTGTAATAGTATCTCTGTTTGAAATGTAATCATATGTCATGAATTACTATTGCTAAATAACAAATGTTGTACCCCCTTTCCCATCCAGTCTTTGCAATCAACAGTTGGTTGGGAATAGAGGAAAATACATTGTATGCAACTTGAGAGAAAGTGATATTATTCATGTTAATATAATTGGTTAAAAGCAAAAAATTGCTGCATGCATGGGAACAATTGGAAAAATCTAAATTATTAATTAGAATTGTAGAAAATAATAAATTATAAGTTATGTAACAGACAAACAGGAACATTATCGTGGATAACATTTTGCTCACAAGAGCCTTGCTCAAAATTGAGCTCTTGTGAACAAAATGTTATCCATAATAAACTTTGTGTTCCGACCTCTTGTGTTTTTATGACCATAATGTTCTAACTGAGGATAACTTAGGCACTGCTATATTATTTTGAAAAATAAAAATAAACTTAAACTTTGAATATAGGCTAGATCTCTGTGCAATACATATACAGTACATAAGATTGGTATAGTCTTCATATTTCTCATATGTGGACACTTTTGATTGTGTGAATGGAAATGGATGTGTTGCATGCAAGTTTACTCATGTTGTACTTTGACTCATCAATGCATATCGTACGTGTGGGATGCTAGGTCTCTGAAATTTACAGTGAATGATGATTAAATAGATATTAGATGTCATTGAGAGAGGATAAGTCTGCTTGTGGATGTACCCGTCTTCCGAATGCTGTGGATTAATATAACTAGTTAACTCAAGTACAGTACTTCATGTGTGATCACAATGATGTCAACATTCATGTAGGTTTGTCATTGACTATACATGTGTTGTATAATAACAGTAAAATTATACAAGGGCCTAATATCATACATACCCATTTATTTGTAGGATTTAGCATGATACTGGAGGCTTACACTAAACCATAACAAAATAGTCAAGTTTTTCACTTGGCTAGTTAAGATATCAAATGATTATTGATATGGCTGTGTTTGATATTTTGTCCTTGAGATGTCAAGAGACTAGTGATTTTGATCTCTAGACGACTCTTTAATATGGGTAAATTTTATGCTTTATGAAAATCCAAATCACTAATCTCTTAATGATGTGATAAGATCTGTCAGATTATATCTTGGTCTAAATTTTTCAGAGAGATTTCAGTTCACAGTTTTGTAAATAAGAGAGGAATCTCTTTGAAACTATTAGCAAAGATTAAAATATTCATGTCATGGCACAAATGATGTTTTCTGCTTTTTGCATTTGTGATGATATTTATTGTAGTATATAATTTCTGTATTGTCTCCATCCCTGATTCCTTTATCTTGCCTCTCAGTAAACACTGAAGACTTTATGTTATGTTCTTGTATTTTTTCCCATACAAATGGTTCAAAAGCATATGTTTGGAGTATAACTGATTTCCAGGAAGTTCTCATTGAGTTACAGAATAAATATTTTATTATTATTCTTGTATAAGTTATGGTGCCTGAATTTTGAGTGGAAAATAGGAGATTAGACAAGTTTTCCAATAAATTGTGATACTGTATTGAAAAAGTAAAGCATTGAAAATATTGAAACAACAAAACAAGTCACAAAGAATACACTAGAGAACTAGAGACTATTGCAAGTCTCTAGCTCTTGCTTTATCTTGTTTTGTTCTGTTTTATCTGTTGGTTCAATGGGACGTTGACCCAACAAATAAAACAACAGCCGACTCTAAATTTTAATATGTACACTTAACTTGATCTTCTCGAACAATAAATTTCCTATCATAAAATACATAATGTAACATAATAAGATCACAACTTCTTTATTGTGCAAGCATACAGTATGTCCAATAGATATGTACAACATTCCTTGGAAATTTGTCTTGAGGTATCAAACTCCAATACAATGCAAAATCATACAAAATCTACACAGAGTATCCAGTTGAGTAAAATCAAATAACAGGTAAAAAAAAAAAAAAAAAAAAAAAAAAAAAAAAAAAAAGAGAACTATACAAAAGAAAGGGATTCCTGAAATACAGTACTCCAGTGATCAAAAACTTGTGCAGACACATTACAGATGGATTAAAAACAATATACAAATACTAGAAAGAATAAATATAAACGGTAGAAAACCACTCAAGCAATTGGGAAAACTCTAAATACTTTTTTACAAAAAAATAACCTATTCCAGTATTGGTCCCCAACTTAAGAAACCAGCGTTAAATGTAATGAAACATTTTTTGGGTGAGCCCCGGAGGCTTCCTGGAGCTATCGGTCTAATATGCGATATATTAGTTTAGGGCATTAGTCAACGGAGTTCAGCCTACCGGGGACCACGAGCCAGAACCTGGCTTCCCCTTAGAGAGGCACAGGGAGCAATGGCCTCTGGAAAAATAACCTGTGGCTGGGGATATTCCTTATCTTCCATCGACTAGGTTTAGGCACCCAGAAAGGTAGGCATAACAAAACACACCCCACTTGGTAAGAAAAATGAAACTGAAGACTGAACAGGGAACTCCCCCAATTCTCAAGGAAACAAGCAAATGTCGTACACCACCGCTGCTTGTCCACGCAGCCCTCCCCCTCACTGGGAGGGGGGGGAGCCCCGGACCCACTGCACCAGCTACTCGACCCCAATTCGGAGGCCAAGCATCAAAAGCAAACCCTGGCACCCTCCCGACCAGAGGGAAGGAGGGAGGGTGCCAGGGAGCCTCCAGGTCTTACCCAGAAAATGGCTTTCCTTACACTCAATGCTGGTTTTCTGTGGGGAAGCCCCTATGGCTCCCTGGCACTATATAACCCAAGATAAGTAAAAGAGGGACTTAACGGGAAGAGGCCGCCACACGCTCCTTAATTCAGTCGAGACAACTGGTCACAACTTGCCCCCAAAGCCACAAACGAATGAGAAGGACCAGGAATGTTGACCAAATAACGGCCGGCCAGGACCCTGTTCGACCTCCAAAATCCCCATGCCCGAATGTCGGCCCAAGACATGTTGCCGAAGACGGCAGCCAAAGCAGCAAACATATGAATGTCATGGACATGAGGATAGACTGCAGGCTGGCTAGGTTAATAACCCTGCGGACAACCTGGGAGACCCAAGCATTGGAACACGGAACAAGGGAAACCGGATCAACCCAAAGTGTGTCCCTGGCTACAAAAGCTGAGGCGTGCAAATGACGGCAAAAAGCCACAACCGGACACAACACATGATGCACCCCCGGCTTGACCAACCAAGTATCAATGACTCAAGGACCCCTTCGGAAGGCCGCAATCTCGTTCTTCGCCAGAAGAGGAGGAGATGGCTGCAACTGCACAAACCAATCACCAGGACCGAAAAAGCAGAAACCCCCCTGTGCCAGAGAACAAGAATCTCGCCAACTCGACCCCTATTGGCCAGTGCCAACAGAAACAGAGCCTTGGAAAAACAATCTTGAACCAAAGAGGGCACCACACAGTGAGAAGAGGAAATCAGAGTCTCCAGTTCAAGGACCATGATGGGCGGCGATGAGCAGGCAGGTGGTGAAAAAAAAAAAACACAAGAAAGCTTGCGGAAGTGACATCCACCCCGAACGCAAGCTGAAGCGGCTCCACCAGCGCCGCACAATATGTGGTGACAATATTCAGCATCAAATGACAGTTTTGAAGAAGATAAGAAAGAAAGGACAAGACAAGCAATCAGATATAGGAGACAACCTACGAAGAGAGAGAGAGAGAACATGGCGAAAAGAACACCAGAAAACTTCATACTGTTGCCGAGACAAAGCTTGCAGGTGGGACACTGTCAATGAAGCCACCTGATCACCATACAAATGGTGATAAACCTGCGTAAAAAATCCAGACGCGAAGAGGAGGAGTAAACTGAACCAGCCATTTACCGACTGGTCCAATCTGCTGGAAGAGACAGAACCGCGGAAAATGTCCCGGGTTCGAACACATAGCAAACAATGCGTGAACCGGCCACCTAGAACGAGTCTCCTGTGAGAGGACTCCGAGCCAGAACCCAAAGCAACAGCTGGACTGGGAGTAAGAGGTACAGTATATATGACCCCCACCTCAACCAGTCCTGCTGAAAGGCATGCACCACGTCAGCTCCTCAATCAGGAAAGGGCACCACATATATCGGGAGATGCCGAGACCATGTTGATTTGTGGAACCAATTACCGCGTAATGTGGTGGAGGTAGGGTCCCTTGATTGTTTCAAACGTGGGTTGGACATGTATATGAATGGGATTGGGTGATTATAAATAGGAGCTGCCTCATATGGGCCAATAGGTCTTCTGCAGTTACCTTTATTCTTATACTCTTATGTTCATGCCGACACGAAGAGGTCCGCCTCCGGGAGCTCGTACGTCTGGCAGAGCCAACTGAAGGAGTCGGCGTTGACCATCCATTCCGTGAACAAGGGAATGAACCGGAACACCACTAAGGCAAAACACTATCAAGAAATTGAGGCCAGAGTTGACCACAGCCCCAGTTCACATTAGTCAACGAACTGGGGTTGAGTATCTGGGGCTTCCCCCGGCCCCCTCCTGGGAGGGGAGAGCTGCACGGACAAGTGGCACGGTGACGATGTATGAATGTTTACTTGTTTCCTTGACAATTGGGGAAGTTCTGCTTCCCTGTTCGGTCTTTGGTTACATGTTTCTTACCAAGTAGGGTGTGTTTTGTTATGCCTACCTTTCTGGGTGCCTATCCCCGGTTGATGGCAGATAAGGAATACCCCCAACCACAGGGAAGGTTTTCCAGTGGCCATTGCTCTCTGTGCCTCTAAGGGGGCCAGGTTCTGGCTTGTGGTCCCCGGTAGGCTGAACTCCATTGACTACTGCCCTAGACTAATATATCACATACTAGCCCGATAGCTCCAGGGAACCATAGGGGTTCCCCACAGAAAAGGCACGTTCTCCAGTGACAATAGAGAAATTAGCAAAATCTGCAAAAGAAAGGTATGAATCCATGTTATGCACCCCAATGTATTCCTTGAAAGTAGAGCCTGAGAGCATTTTTTATCAATTTTCCCCACGCTTCCCATAATAGATATCTATAACCCTTACAGACTTACTTGAAAAATTGCATGTTCCTATGCATTTGTTCTGGGGCTGTATTTCTTAAAATGCCACCGAGTATAGGCACTTGGTATAATTTAAAGTGACTATGAAAAAGATTAGGTCCTGGAGACAAAAAAAAAAAAATTGCAAACATTGTGCAACTTTACAAGGAAGGGAATAAATTGATAGCAGAGGGAGCAAAATCATAATACTGTATTACCTTATCTGTAAGATTAAAGACCTGCCCAAAATGCTAAGTGTACAGTATTAGTAATTACCAAAGTGTAGTTACAGGATGAGAGCTATGCTCATGGTGTCCCTTCTTCTCGGCACTCTTTATCATATGACGTTTTGAAACTACTGACGGTTTTGGCCTCCACCACCAGCGCCTGACAGCTGGGTGGACAGCGCTTTGGATTTGTAGTCCTGAGGTTCTGGGTTCGATTCCCGGTGGAGACAATTGGGCAAAATGTTTCTTTCACTCTGATGCCCCTGTTACCTAGCAGTAAATAGGAACTTGGGAGTTAGACAGCTGCTACGGGCTGCTTCGTGGAGATGTGTAACAAAAAGGAGGCGCTTAGCCCCGAAATCATCTCAAGATAACCACCTCATTTAACTTTGTTTCAACCGTCTACCACTGTGAAAGTGAATTTGTTCAAATTTCTTTGGCAGCTTTGTTTAGTTAGTTTAAATCTATGACCTCTTGTTCTTGAGGTTCCAGGTCTCAAGAATTCTTTTTTTATAGACCAGTTGCACTGTCCCACATAATAAAAGTATTTGAGAGAGTGATCAGGAGTGAGGTCACCAATATCATGGAGACCAATGACCTTCACAACCCAGGCCAACATGGATTTAGAGCAGAAAGATCATGCCTCTCACAGCTACTTGACCACTATTACAAAATCATTGAGGCATTGGAAGAAAAACAGAATACAGATGTGGTATATATGGACTTTGCAAAGGCACTAGATAAATGTCACCATGGAGTGATAGCACACAAAATGAGGTCAATGGGAATAACTGGTAAAGAAGGACGGTGGATACTCAAGTTTCTGTCAATCAGAAAACAAAGAATAACAGTCAACTATATAAACTTGAGTCTAAGTGCAGTTAAAAGTTCTGTACCTCATGGTACAGTCCTTGTACCACTGCTTTTCCTTATTCTCATATAAGATACAGTATAGACAAAAATACAAGTCACAGCTTTGTATCATCCTCTGGAGATGACACAAAAATCAGCAAGAAGACCTCTGCTGAAGACATTGAAAAACTATAGGCAGATATTAATAAAGTTTTCGACTGGGAAGAAGAAAATAACATGATG